GCAACACAAATCAAAAGTCTTTTTGGTGCATTTAAATTGTTTCATACTATGGTGCAAAATCGATTCAAGTGCAGTGTGACTATCCTCCGCTCAAATTCAGGGGGAGAAAATAGAGATGGAGACTTCTTGGCATATTTGAGGAGTCATGGAATTCAGTCTCAACGTAGCTGCCCAGAAACTCCACAACAGAATGGTGTAACTGAACGGAAGAACAGACACATTCTCAATGTTGTGCGGACATTACTATAGGAGTCTCATACTCCAACTTCGTTTTGGGTAGAAGCAGCTAGTACAGCCGTGTATTTGATCAATTTTCTTCCATCCTCTGTTCTAGGCAACACCTCTCCCTTCCAAAAACTTTTTGGTTATCCCCCAGATTTCTCTAGCCTTCATGTTTTCGGATGTCTTTGTTTTGTTCATCTTCCTGTTCGTGAACGATCTAAATTAACTGCTCAGTCTGCTATGTGTGCCTTTGTGGGATAGCCCTGACCACAAAGGATTTTTGTGTTATGATCATACTACTCGTCGTATTCGGATTTCTCGGAATGTTGTGTTTCTTGAACACATCTCCTTCTTTGTTGGGGTTGCTAGATTGTCTGCTCCTTCCATCTCTGTTTTGTAGGATTTTGATTCAAATGACACTACTACTTCCTCAGCCGAGAGAGATCTTCTTGTCTTCACCCGCAAGCGGCTACGTGTCCCGGCTCTTGCGCCTACAACCCCCCTTCCACCCAATCCAAAGCATTCATCTCAGATATCCTCTGTAAGTGATACCTTGACCCAAGATCCTCCTATTTCAGATAGTAGTTCAATTATTCCACTTCATCGTTCTACCTGAATCTCTAGACCTCCTGGCCGCTATGGTTTTCCTTCAAACCATAATTCCTTTTCTGCTGTACTTTCTTCCACAGATATCCCTAGAAGCCATTAGAAGTTCTCAATGGAAAGAAGTTATGGATGCCAAAATTCAAGCCCTCCATGAGAATGACACTTGGGATCTTGTGCCAGCTCCTCCAGATGTTTTTTGTTGGAAGTCGTTGGGTCTATACAATCAAACTGAAATCAAATAGCTCTCTTGATCGATATAAGGCCCAGTTAGTTGCCCAAGGATACAGTCAGGAATATAGGATTGATTATGAAGAAACATTTGCCCCGGTCTCTAAGATCACCACAGTTCGGACCCTTATGGCCATTTCTGTTGTTTATTCCTGAACTATTTATCAATTGATGTGAAGAATGCGTTCCTTCATGGCGAATTAAAGGAGATAGTCTACATGAAACCTCCACCTGGATATTGAAGTGATCATTCACATGTCTGTCGCCTGAAGAAGTCTTTATATGGTTTGAAGCAAGTACCTAGGGCTTGGTTTGAGCGCTTCCGGGATGTTGTTGTTGCAGCCGGGTATAATCAGAGTTCCTCTGACTACTCCCTCTTTGTTAAGAGAAGACCCCAGGGTATTACTATTCTTCTATTATATGTTGATGACATGCTCCTAACGGGGGATGACTATGACGACATTTGTGAGCTGAAGTCCTTACTTCATAACTCATTTCATATGAAGGACCTGGGTCCTCTCACTTACTTCTTGGGTTTGGAGGTTCATCGTAGCAATCCAGGGTATTTTATTTGTTAACAAAAATACGCCTCTGATCTTGTCAAACTAGATGGAATCACTAATGAGAAACATGTTGATACCCCCCTAGAGCTGAATGTCAAGCTATCCAAATCCGAAGGCCTCATCCTTCCTAATGCCACCCTGTACCATCAGCTTGTTGGCTCTTTGATCTATCTTACTATGACCAGGCCTGATATTTCACATGTTGTTCAGGTCGTCAGTCAATTTGTCTCTGCCGCAAGACAACCTCATATGATTGCAGTTCGCCGCATCATCCGTTGTGTTCGAGACACAACCTCTCAAGGACTGTTTTTCTCTTCTTCATCATCCATACAGTTGAGGGTCTATGCTGATGCTGATTGCGCTGGTTGCCCTGACACTTGCCGATCCACTACTGGGTGGTGCGTCTTCATAGATGACTCTCTCTCCTGGAAGTGCAAGAAACAGCAAACTGTCTCTAAGTCTTCCACTGAAGCCGAGTATAGAGCTGTCTTCTGCATGCAGCGAGATTGTTTGGCTGAAGTCACTTCATTGATCTTGGGATTTCTCTTCCTACTCCTATCCCTCTATATGCCGACAACACCAGCGCTATCAAGATCGCTTCTAATCCAGTCTTTCATGAGAGGACTAAACATATCGAGGTGGATTGTCACTTTATTAGAGACCTCCTTGTTGCAGGCTCTATATCTCTTCCTCATGTTGCCTCTCACATGCAGATTGCCGACATCTTCACCAAGGCCATGACTAAGAGTCGACATCTCATTCTTATGGGCAAACTGATGTTGATGTCTACGCATCAATTTGAGGGGGAGTGTGAAGATATATCTTGATGTACATTATTAGAGTAGTCCTTGTTGTACAGTATCATACTTCTTATTATTTTATTTGTTCTTTTTATCTTTCAGCCCTGTAAGGGCATTCTTGTAACTGTATATACGTTTTATCTCTTTAATATAAAAGAGGCTCTTTGGGGTGGGGGTCGACTATTTTGGACACCCCTAATTCTGTTTTCTCCTAGATCTGAATTCAGTTCACACAGTTAACCATCTGTTTTTACATTGCAAGTTTGTAATAGAGATATGGAACTATTTTCTAAAGAGCTTAAAGGCCAGCTAGAGTATGACAGCCTCAGTTAAAGAATGCTTGGAGGCTTGGCATATACCGGGGATGACAAAGAAGGGGAAGTTGTGCTGGTCCTATTTACCCCTGGCTATTTTGTGGGTAGTATGGATTGAAAGGAACAGCAGGACTTTTGATCACAAAGCCTCTTCTGAAGCTGAGGTCATTAACAAGGCTATTGTGCTTCTTTGGAGCTGGCTGTCTATACACACAGGATTTAAAGAAGATACAACGGATTGTAATTTTTTGAAGGTAGCCTTCTTTTGAGGTCCTTTTGTTTATATTTTGTACAGCTTCTCATTGTACAAAGGACTGGTTGATTAATACAATTATACTTTACCTTTTCTCAAAAAAAATAATTTACAAAAAAAGAAAATATATTAAGCATACAAATCTTGGTAACAAGGTATCACCACGAACAAAACAATAGATCCCTCCCAAGACCCCACTCTAACTAATGATGATCAACATATGCAAACCCATCCAACCATCAGGGCAATGACAGAAATACAGCCAATAATATTTGGCAAGCTATAACCATGACCCATCTCAAAGCAGCTGTAAAAGCCATTACCACCTCATCCAAAAGTTTACCTCAATGTTTCAAATGACTTCCTCTACCTTATTTAGTTTTCTCTCCCAAAAACCTATTCCTTGCCTAAGACACTTCCCAAATGATTTCTATTTGGATCTAAACCTAAGAGTATTTTGATATGAGACTCATTTATAGGGGCTTGGATGGGGTTTGTTTGATGGGCAACAACTCTCATCCATCAATAATTATTTTGCATGGTCATCTCTTCGCTTGGGTATAAAAGCTTATTTCAGGTTTGAGATCAACAATTCATCCCAATAAGGCAACAGGACTGAGGCATTTTTATTAAAGTTGGCAATTTTGACAAAGAAAGGCGGCAGCCAATGGATTTATTCAAACGAGTAAATTAATATTTAGATTTGATATTTGAATGGTTTGTGTCCATTTCATTTGAATACTAATAAATTACATCCATGAGTTTCAAGTTATGTGCCTTTGAGGTTCACCTTTCATGTACATCAAACTTCTAGCGCCTTACAATTAACACTCATTTCAAGTTCTGTCATATGGTGGAATATATCTTTTTTTCCCAAATATTTTTCTATTCCTGAAAAATGGGCTGATGGATTATTTCCCAATATATCTATAGACATGTGAATTTTTAAGCCAAACAAATGGGCTTAACTTACATGACAGCCTCTGAATTAATATGGGTCTCCATGGGCTTAAGGTCCAAGTCTACATAAATATGTCTTGGTGGCCTAAGGATCCAGGTGTATTAAGTCCAATCTATCCCATCTCCTATTGTAATAGGGTGGTCCCATTGGAAAATCCACTAACTCCTACATAATGGTGCATGTATGGGAGTTATCTCTAACCCAACACCCCACTCACATGGGATTGGTTAGCTAAGCAAGCTGAGATGGCAGTCCTAATCCTTGGTTATAAATAGTCGTGCCTAGGAAAGAAGGAGGCTCCTCTCCTTTTTTCACGAACACACTGCAAGAAGCTCTCAGGCACCAACACTAAAGATTGCAAGCAACCACAATCTCCTATAAACTCCAGCAACTGCAAGATCAAGAGAGAAGAAAGAAGGGAAAAGCTTCTTTGTTCTCTACAACACACTTGGATTCAAATTCTCCCAAGAAGATCAAGCCACCACAAAATGACCCTTCTTAGAGAAGCATCCTTCACAGCCGATCAAGCGCAAAACCCGAAGTGAAGAAATCTACATCATATCACGAAAGCACCTAAATTAAGAAAATCTACATCAACACTTCAAGAAGTACGAGAAACACGCCAACGGCCTCGTCTTCACCGAATTTGACCGTTAATCACAGGTTGCTCACGTCATTGAACAGAAATCAAAGAGAGTTCATTCCCTTGTGTATTTTCTTTATTACAAATTTATTTTTGTAATTTGTCTCCATATTTTGTGACACAAAATTTGTGTCGACAACATCTTCCTTTTCCAAGTTGGTACTAATCTACAATATGTTAGAATATGCCTAAACAACAAATAAATTCGATCAATCTTAATATAATTAGATGTGTTAGTTAAATTCTTTTCTATATTCATATATGCATAGACCTTATTATTTACTCGTTCCATTCTACTTCTACAAAACGCAACCTTTCTTGAACTAGTTTTTATTAATATCTTTTATATAGTACACCTACATCCATTTTGCAGTGTTTGAACCTTCTATTGGTAACAAAGGCAGTCATACCTTGCATCTGGCGGATTTAATGCTTCCTCAGGCGGCCGAGGCCAAACTTGGGGAAGCCCCACATCTTTATGACTAACATAGAACCTCTGGAAGTAGCTTGACGAGCAAGTGACCTGAATAGCATTGCTGTACAAACTCTGATGCTTTGAAGCCGCATCCCGCCCAACAGAATGACAGAAAACATAAAAGTGATCAGAACCCTCTGAAGCATTCCAGAATATATACTCCCAGCTGATCCTGGCTGTGTACTGTGCGACAAAGTTTGCAATGGATGCCTCAGAACGCACACGTGGATCGTTTCGAAGAGCATTGATGGAGAAGGGCATGAAGAAGAAGTGTGCCTCTTCTGGGTTGGTTGTGAGAAGGGAGCTCCCAAGGAGGGCTATTTTGAACATGTGCTCGCTGTAGTAGTTTCCAAGCTTTGGATGCAAAGGGTTGGGATGGGGAAGGAAAATTGGGGCAGAGGGGGAAGAGTGTTTTTTGGTGAAAACATCGGGATAAACAAATATTTTCAAGTTGGTGAGCATTTCATTAAAATCCGCAGAAAAAAGTTCCCAATTATGGTATGGACCACCCGTTGCATCTGTTGTTGGTGGTGGTGGTGGTAGTGGAAGCGATGGAGGTGGCGGCGACGGTGGTGGATGCACCATACTTGTTTGTCCTGCCGCAGCTTTGTTGTTGGTACTGATGTTTTCTGCTAGATAAAGCGTATTTGATGGCGTAAATTGAGTATTTAGTTTGCTTTCAACAAATTGAACTGGTGGAGTATTGGATAGCTTCAGAAGACCGTGGAAAGAGATGATAGACAACAATGACGCAACTGCCACCGTCACCACCACCACCAGCAGTGGCACAAGTAGGCGTCTTTGGTGGAGACCGAAATAGGGAAAGTTTGGCTTTGGCCTTCTCTTGGAGAAATAGGCTTCTGCCGGCAATGCCGTTACCTGCAACATGCGTGAGGAAGGGATACTAGATGTATATGGATAACGTGGAGGGGAACTGGACAGGGACTGCGACGACCTAGAAATCTAGAACCAGACCTTACACGATCATGAGTTACGAGTGACGAGTCATGGGCGAGTTGACATCAGCGCCTCACGGAAGATCCCAACCGTGTTTGGGAAACATCTCTCAATTACAAATACAATTACAAGTACAGGAGATGTTTTCCACGCGAGATCGGCTTCAATCAGGGCAAACCTGTGCCCATACCGATCTAAGTGTTTAAACCGAGCTCGAGCTTTAACCTTATACAACATTGACAAGCCGAGCTTGATCCTTGTACTATTCGACTCGGTTCGGCTCGGCTCGGCTTTAATCCACCCCTAATTCTAATAGTCATTCCCAACCTTATATTTGAAAATATCTCCCCATGAAATAAAGCATATAAGTATGGAGATATTCTCAATGCAAGATAGTAAAGGCTATTCAAATGAGTTTTGCCCTAACGAAAGTTGAATTCTTCCAAACGCATGTTGAGATGAATTCAGCTTTAGTCAAGGCAAAGCCTGCTCAAGCAGCCTTTATTGTCTTGCATTGAGAGTATCTTTGTACTTATGTGCTTTATTTCATGGGGAAATATTCCCAATGCAAAGTTGGGAAAGGCTGTTAAAACGATGTGTGCATAGGTTTGCCTTGATAAAAGTCGATCTCTGCTGAGATGTACATGTGGGGCAACTGTGGAGTGTTGATGTGGTATCCGGACAAGTAAATCTACGAGTGTAAATGTATTGAATTCGAATGAGTCAGACAATATTTAAATTCGAATCTGATTAGAAAATTTGATTCGTATTGGACGAATATTAAAAATTAATATTTGAATTCGAATTTGATTAAATATTTGATTCGAATTTGACCAATTAATTATTTTAGATAATAAATAAATATTTTATTTATATAAAGTATATAAATATATAAATTATTTATATAATTTAATTATTACATATAAATTATATAAAGCATTTAAATAGTTTACAAATTATATATAAGAATAAATAATTGATCAAATTCAAATACATATAAATTTGAATTATCCAATTATAATATTTGAATTTAATTCGATTATATTGAATCCCAATTTCGAAAATCGAATTTTCAAATACGGTTGAAACACGCAAATTACCCGCTTACTATCGAGTTTGCATAGTGCCCCCATACAATGACGGCAGGTTGTTCTCCCGCATGATCTCAATCTTAAACACATGCGAGCTAATTGGCCGCATGTTTGTCCTGTTAGATCCCAAATTCACCCAAAAGGCCAAAATCCCCCACCCAATTCCCGCACGACCCTCTCTCTCAACTCTACTTCCGAGCAAAGTATCTTTTCATTCTCCTCCATTCCATTTACCATCCATCTTCCGTATTTAAATATATAAAAAAATTATAAAACATATTATATATAGTAGTTATATGACTTATAGTGTATATATATCACTCCAATTTAACCTCGGACCTATAAATCTCTTCCTTTTTTCGGTTTTATATCCAATCCGATTATCTTAAAATTGGTAATAATTACCCATCTCTTTCATTTCTCTCACATCCGTTCCAGGTTTTGATATTTTTTTCATTATAAAACAAACAAGGGGAGGTATACATCACTGGCCATCACCAACAACCACGGGCAACATTAAACGGGCGGAAATAGGAAATCAGCAGTATAACAGTTAGCCGATTTCTATCCGAACTCCTTTTAATGTTTGACCTAGTTTCTATCCTGAGGATTATGTTGGTTTAATTTGATATTTGATCCGAGCAAACCGGCAGAAAAAAAGGTGAAAGGGGGAAAAAGAAAATGAACTTCACTGGATGGCACACAGAACCTTCCTTTCTTCGCTCTCATGAGTTCAATTTTCTGCTCATTTTATGGATGTAACACTTTGTTACAGCTTCAGTTAGTTTGGCATAATACTGCAATTTGTCTATTACCCCACCTGTTCAATGTTGCCAGTGATCACCGGTGATGGCCGGTGGTGGCCTGGTGGGTACCTCCCCTTGCTGGTTTGTAATGGGAAAAAAAAGTAATATCAAAACCTATAATGGATGTGAGAGAGATGAGACAAGGAGTTAGTGCCTTCAGACGGTGTGACCACCGAAACGATCGTTGGCGCCGGAGAACTTGTGGATTTTGAGCTCGGATGGAGGAGAGTGAACAGGCCGGAATAAGGGGATTTTGATTAGGATTGTTCACGGGTCGGGTTGGGTCGGTTTATTGACGCTTTTCCAACCAACCCGACCTGATCGGTTTATCTAGAAATGAAACCAAAACCGACCTGGTCGATTTGAATCGGTTTGGGTTGGTTTTGTGAATGATTCTCTTAGTGTGAACGGTAAAGGATTCAAGTCTAAGAAAGCAAAGGCTAGATGCCTGAAAATTAAAAATGATTTGATGGATTAAACCGATATTTTATATATAATATGTATATTTCTGAAATGAAACTGAAATATATATATATATATATATATTTTCACAAATATATGTTTGAAATATATTATATATAATATGTATCTAAGTTGGTTCGGTTTCGATTTTCACACATGAAAACCAAACTAAACCATCGGTTTATGTTTTTTTGTAACCTGAAACCAACCAATGCTGAAGAAAAACCGACCAACTCGGATTGGATCGGATCGGGTTGGTCAGTTTGGGTCTTGTTATGAACAGCCCTAATTTTGACCTTTTGGGAGAATTTGGATCCGTCAAGTTAGCTCGCACGTGTTTAAGATTGGGATCGTGTGAGAGGACACTTGTCTGCGTTTGATTGTGTGGGGCGTTGATGTGAACTCTAATAATGCGACGAAAAATAGCTAACTGAAGCAGACTAAATAAAGTGAGAGATTCATTATGGCAATTGTCTTAATGCAATAAATATGGTTTAAAGTATTGATACGATCATATCTTTTGAAAAAGATACAGTTCAAAATGTCTGTTTTCAGGTGTTTCGGATACCAAACTTTTTTTAATAATAAAAGACATGTTTTAAGATTCTCAAAAAACCAAAATTTGAAAAAGAAAAGATATTTCGGCTGTTTCTAAGTACCGATACGATACAGCCGATATGCATTTCATATCAATACTTTGAACCTTGTCAACAAATACTTAGGTTATGTTTGATTTGAAGGAAAAAATTCTTTCCCCTGCATTTTTCTTCAAACCAAACATAACCTTATAGAATAGAATAGAAAAAAAAAAGGCATGTGCTAACAGGTGTACGTAAGATCTCAAAGAGGACATAAGTGTGTGGGATTTAGATAAGCCTACCGCTAAGATAAACTTCTAATTTAAGCCGGTCATCCAACAGGTTAAAACGCTATGCCATGCAAACAAACTAGAATCAATAAAACAACATACATAATTAGAAAACCAGGAGAATAGTGAATTAGTGATGAATGGCCCAAGATGAACTCTAATATGCAGCCAAATGAAATAAATATATTTGTAAAAAAACAGCATAGTTTGCCGTCCCTTGGTCAGAATTGAAAGATAAGCATTTTAAGACTTGTAAACTAGTAACTAGTAAGTAATCCTTCCACGAACAAAGTCTAATTTTACTCAAAATGAAAAACATGTCAAGATCTAATTCTTCCATAAAGGAAAACAAAGTGCTTCGGTGGCTTATTTTTCAATAAGAGCCAATGATGAAGTTATTCAATATACATTACCGTATGTTGTGATATTTTTCTTTTTGGTTATAAAGTCTATTAAAATATGCCGTTTTTTATAGGATTTTACTGTTCAGTCCACCCCAGAAATCTTAACTCCACCGTACAGGTGGGATGAATACTAACCGTGGACCAATGCCAAATCCACGGGCAGAATGGGGAGGGGGCTACTAGTAAACTAGAAAAAGGCTGTAATTTCAGATTTCTGAGACGGAGTGCAGTCTACTTATCCCCTTTTTTTATTATATACCAGACTTATATTTAGTATTATTAATGCATTTTTTAGATTTATTTGAAATTTCTGCAGATTTTAATTTTTCCACCATGTTCGTATTTATCCCTGTAATTCCTTAATGCATTTCCATACTCTTTATGTTTCTACTACTTTGAATTTAGCTTAAAACCTAAACCGAAACTTGGTTTTTGCATGCTTAAATATCATTTTGAACAAAAGTTCGAGATTTTTGCATGCTTAAATATCAAATAGGAGCACCTGCAGAATGCTCTTCCTCTCAAATGGTCCTGAGTCCTGACGCTAGTTACATATCCATGCCAAAAAGGAATAGAAAAATATGTTTTTATCCTAAAGCCATTGACAAAGGGATAATTTTAGCTAGAAGAGTAATGCAATCTCTAATATGGTTTTCTCTAATCAAACTAGCAACATCACACAAAAAGCCGGATGAAGAGTATTACACAATATTTACATTAACGGAAAGGAAGACGTATGAATCAGAGTTCCCAACAAAGCGGATTAACATATCCATCAGGAAACAAACAAAAAAAAAGTGGAATAACAAGTAGACAGTCGTGGTTCCACAATAAATATGTGAAAGCTTATAACTGCTTTTAATACCCCTTCCTATACTGTCTCATCTTCATGATATAAATACAGGCCAAGGCCAAATCGAGCACAGGCTCTGCAGAAAGCCATTTCCTCGGCTGCAGCAACAGGATCTTCAAGGCTGCCATCACTTGAGGATACTGTTCCAGATGATTCACGATGTGCCTGCATCAATATGTAGCAATAAAAGAATTGTAGATCGGATCTGGTAATGCAAACATTATTATATTGTAAACATGTAACCTAGAATCTTTGATTATGAGCAAAATACCATGGGTTTATAAAACTGTTAGTCAGGGTTGCTTAAAGAATGTACACTTGGGCACTTGGTTGGGAAATGGGTGTTTGTGAAGTTGTTTCTTTGAAGTGGTATTTGGCATATATACTCAGTTCAACTCAACAAGCCTTATCCCTGTTCTACTTCTACGGTTCTGACATTCCACCGTTCAGTGCCATATCCATTGTTAAATTATAGGCCCTCAAATCATGTCTCACTACTCAACCCATGTCCTTTATGGCCTGCCCCTATCTCTTCTAGACCATTCAACTAGCAACAGATCACTTTTTTCCCCACTGGTAATAGTCTACTCGACACATAACTAAGCCATGTACTTTCTCTCATTTATCACCTATGGAGCTACTCCTAAGTTCCTATTATTACGCTCATTTCTGATCCTATTCCTTTAGTTTTCTCACTCATCCATCTCAACATTTGCATTTCTGCTACTGGGGATGATCATGGACCACGCCAGGCTAGCTTAGCACCTATGATAAGTGCTATAGCCGGGGCCTGGGCCTGGTCTGCCTTGTAACTTTATAAAATTTTTATTTCAACCTAAGTGGCATTCTCTCATCGCATAGGACTCATAATGCACCTCTCCATTTTTCTCATCTGGCTCCTGTAGAGATGATGGACTGAATGGGCCTTAGTTTCTTTCCTTTGTTTAGTTATGTTTTCGTTTTATGTTTATAAGTAGTGGGCCTTAATTGTGAGCCTGTTTTTTCTTTTTCCTTTTATTATTGTCTTTAATGCTGGATGCCCTAATAAGGGCACTCATGTAATTGTGCTCATATTACCATTAAGAGAATAAAAGATAATATTGGGACACTGAAGAGGGGACTGAACTCTCTTCTTTCTTCTCTTTTCTTCCACCTTCCTCCATCTTCTTCAATCTATACCCAAGTCAGTTACAGAGGCCTTGTCTAAGCCAGAATGGAGATAGGCTATGAAAACTGAAATAGCACTTCGCAAAAATAATACCTGGGATATTATGGATTTACCTCATGGGAAGAAACCAGTGGGATGTAAGTGGGTGTTCACCATCAAGTATCATGCTGATGGCACCATTGAAAGGTACAAGGCTCGGCTACTAGCCAAGGGGTATACTCAAGCATATATAGTTCATTATATAAAGACCTTGTCGCCAGTTGCAAAAATGACCTTAGTGAGAGTCCTGTTGTCCTTGGTAGTGAGTGACTGACCATTACATCAGTTTGATGTTAAGAATACTTTCTTACATGGAGATTTGACTAAAGAGGTCTATATATCCCTTCCCCCAGGTATGTATGGTAAGGAAAGGCAAGGCAAGGTTGCAAGTTGAAGAAATCCCTTTATGGCCTCGAACAATCCCCATGAGCTTGGTTTGACAGATTCAAAGCTGCACTTGTTGAGTTTGGCTATAGACAGACAAAGTCTAACCATACCTTGTTTCTTAAGAGAAGTACTCGGGTTACCTTATTTATGTTGATGATGTTGTGGTTACGGGAGTGATATAGAGGAAGTCCAAGCACTCAAAACTTTCCTTAACTCAAAATTTGAAATTAAGGGCTTAGGGGAGTTGAGATATTTCCTGGGACCGGGAGTCGAAGTTGCCAGGTCTAAAGATGGCATCTTCACTTCCCAACGGAAGTATGTTTTCGGTCTTCTCATGGAGATTGGGAAACCATGTATGAAGTGAAACCACTCAATAAAGATTCTCGAATTTCATTCCTCTCATACTCCATAAAGTAGCCATTGTAAAACATCTTCACATAATATTGCTATAGTTTTTTTTTTTTTTTTGAGAAAAGGTAAAGTATGATTGTATTAAAGCAAAAGGTCCTTTATACAATGAGAAGTTGTACAAAAGCTAAGTTGGACCTCAAAAAATTACCATCAGACATAACATCTTTAAATACGGTAATGTATAGACAACCAACTCCTAATAAACCCTATAGCCATGTTGATGACCTCAAACTTCAGAAGAAGCTCTGTGTTCAAAAGTTCTTTTGTTTCTTTCCAGCCACACTGCCCACAGAATTGCCATTGGGGTGGAGGACCAGCAGACTTTCCCTTTCTTAGTCAATCCAGATATGTGTCATTCCTCAAACAAGGCTTTCACCTCAGGCAGGCATGCACCAACTTAAATTCAGGGCCTTCAAAAAATATCTCCAAATTTCTGAAGCAAACTTGCAATGCAGAAACAAATGGCAGTCTAATTCTAGTTCCACTTTACAAAGACAGCATCTCAAGTCATTGCAGATGAAACCTTTCTTCAGCAACATATCTTTGGAGAGGCACTTCTCCAAAGTTGTTACCCAAAAACTTGACTTTTGAGGGTGCCACTGTCCCCCAAATAGCCTGACTGGGAAAAACTTCACCTTCTCCCACTAGAAAGCTGTAAAAAGATTTGCTGAGAACTTTCCTGCCTTGTTCCACTTCCATACTCTTGAGTCATGAGTTTGAAGGTTTAAAGCCTGGTTTTGGAGAGTAGTGAATAGATCTTCAGCCATCTAGACCTCTCAGTCATTGAAATTCCTTCTAAAGGATGGAGTCCAGCAAATGTTGTTGTCCCTCCTCACATAAGAGTCAGCTACCGATGCCTCCTTATCAGTAGCCATATTGAACAGAGCAGGAAACAACTCTTTAAGTGTGCTTTCACCGATCCAGGGGTCAAACCAGAATCTAATCCTTCTGCCATCTCCAATTTTATATCTGATCCATCTTCTGAAAAGTGTAGCAGCTTTACATATTCCTTTCATAAACCACAGCCATATGTCGAAGGTGGTGAGCCAATATTCCACCCATTCCTGTCCAGCCCATACTTTTTTGCTATTACTCCATAGGTTATCCGGCTCAGTAGAAAACCTCCAAAGCCAACTACACAGTAATGCTAAATTGAAGGTCTTTATATGTCTTATTCCCAACCACCTTGGGATGGGGTTTACAAATCTGGTCCCAATTCACAAGGTGGTATTTGTGAGAATCTTTCCAATCCATCCACAGGAAGTCCCTCTTCTTCTTTTCCAATTTCTCTGCCACCTCTGAAGGGATCGGAAAGAGGACCATGAAGTAGGTCGGAAGGCTAGCTAACACACTCTTTATTAGAGTTATCTTCCCACCTTTGGAGAGATATCTTGCTTCCCAAATGGCCGGCTTTTGGTCCATCCTTTCTAAAATTGGATTCCAGATGGCTTTGGATGTACATTTGGCACCGAGAGGCAACCCCAAATATTTTGGGGGGAGAGAGCCAACTTTGCAACCCAACAAATCTGCCAATCTCTGAGTAATGGAAACCTCTCCAACAGCTATCATTTCACTTTTAGCTAGGTTCACCTTTAGGTCCAATACTATCTCGAACCAGAATAGATGTTTCAGGTTAATGATTTGGTCCTCCAAAGCATTACAAAAAGAAGAGTCATCTGCATATTGCAGAATGGGAATTTTTGTGCCATTAGTTCTCACTTCAAAACCTTCAAACATCTCTAGCTCTGCATCCCAATCAACCATTCTACCGAGACCTTCCATTACTAATAAAAATAGCAGAGGTGACAAGGGATCCCCTTGCCTCAAACCTCTCAAACTATTGAAGTTGCCTCTTACTGAACCATTAATTAGGACTGAGAATCTTGGAGTAGTTATGCAGACTTTCATCCAACTTCTCCACTTAGAGCCAAAATGCATTCTCTCCAACAAATAATCCAAAAAAGCCCAATTGACATAGTCATAAGCCTTCTTTAGGTCCATTTTACAGACAAGCCCTCTCCTCCCACTTCTTGAATCAATTAACTCATTGGCTATGAGAACAACATCGTGTGTATGCTTGTTATTGACAAAGGCACCTTGATACTTAGAGATCAGTGTATCCATCACCTATCTTAGTCTGCTAGCTAGAATTTTGGCCAAAATTTTGTAAACACTGCTGCTCAAACTGATTCGCATCAAACGGTGGAAGGTAACAATAGAAATAAGTGTGCAAATCAAGTTCAATGGTAGAAATCCATTGGCAAAAATGATAAGAAGAATACCTATCTGATTTTAAAATCAATCTCAAATTATCAAGACTGCAAATGGAAGGGTATATAAGATTTTTAAGCCAAGTTTCTGTAATATTCAAAACAATACGGTTTTACCCCTAAGGCCCAATACCGATCTATACAGAATTTGAGAATGCTAGAATCAGGATGCTTGGCTAATTCTATCAGGGATGATCTTGAGATGGGAAGGATCTCTATGCTCAATGTAATTTTAAGGCTGCATTGCTAAGGGACTAGCAATGGTTAAGTTGGGGGTGTCATAACTCTGCATTTTGATGCCTTAAGGGCATCAATTCAGGGGTATTTCCGGCCTTACAATAGTCAAGATGTGTCATTTTCCCAGTTAAATGCAATGTTGTGGCCTCTGAGGGTCTTTGTGCAAATTCTGGGGAAAACTGGGAAATCTTCATGGCTGAAATGCAGATTTTGGGAAGTTGGTGTGAAGTCCAACTAAGAGAGGGGGTGTTTTTGTGAAAAACTGAAAGCAGGAGGGCGCCTCCTAGCTGCTAAACCCAGTTTGGCGCCCCTCCTACTGTATTAGCATGCTCCCCACGTCTTAACAAACCCTAGGGCACCTTTTAACCCATTCTTTTCACTCTTAGCAAACCCTAGCCACCCCTAGGTGTTTAATCTTCACCCTCCACCTCTTTTAATCTCAACCACTCATTCTAGGGCACTCTTTTTGTAGTTTTTAAACCCTAGAGCGCCACCTAACTGTTAATCCTCACCATTCAGCCCCTAACCACTAGATCTCAGCCCTCCATCCATCTTCTATCTCAGCCATCCACTCTAGGGTGCCTCCCACCTCTTCTAATCTCCACCTTTCAACCTTAGGAGCCTCTCCTCCATTCATTTCTGGAAGCCCAAATCTCATCCCTACATAATATTGAGCGCCCTCTTCTTTTCTTTTCAGCGCTAGGGTCACTCCAGAATCATCCTAACTCTCCAGAAACCCTAGAGCGCCCATAACTTTGCTAAAACCCAACTGCCGCCCCCCTCTTTCTCTCTATTCCCAGTTGTGTCCACCCTTCTCTATAAAAAGGACTCTAGGGGCCCTGGAGAAGGGGTTGGTCAGTTCACCCAATTAACAAAGCTAAGGTTTCTTGAGGAGTTCAAGGGTTGTAGAAGGGGAGGACGCCAAGTTCTTGTCAGGAGGGGTTCCTTCAAGCTGTTCAACCAATCTGCAACTACCGCCACTGGATCTGATCAACCATTCTTTTCTTTTCTTTATTTTATTTTCTATTATTTTTATTTCTGCAATCTTTTAGATTTAATTCTTGTTCGTTTCTCTATTTTGCAGATCTGAATTCATTCGGTTCAAGGCTAAGGTGTCTCGAGGGGTTCGAGGGTTGTAGAAAGGACAAACGCCCAGTTCTTGTCAGGAGGGGTTTCAGCAAGCTGTTTGGCCAATCTACAGCTACCGCCACCGGATCCGGATTCCGAATCGTTTTTTTATTTATTTCTTTTATTTCCTTTGTTGATTCCCATACTTTATTATATTCTAATCTTTATTTATTGTCTTGTTTAAATTGAAAACATTTAATTTCAGCAATAATAGATTTTATTTTTGTATTTTCTACCATTCCCAATTGCATTCTCTTGTCCGGATCTAAGTATATATTAATTTTTCACTTACTTCCCTATGGATACGACTCGTTCTCACCCATTTACTAGGTTAGTAGTTCTTTGAGAAACGGTAAAAATTATAAATATTAAACCGGTGTTTCAAAGTGGTTAACAACACGCTTCTGGACACACCATTAAGGAGTCAAAAACTCTCTTTGTTGCACTCCTTTTTCTTCTTTCCTCCTCATCCAAAAACTTTCCTTCTTCCTCCGCATCAATATCAGCTATTATTTTCAAACATTTTGTTTTTTCCTCATCCAACCTTGCCCTTTCCTGCTGCCAGGATTTATTTTTTCTTTTCAGTCATTGCAGTTTTTTAAAAAAATATATGGCTTGCTGAACCTGTTAAAAAAGCTTCAGCCCACCACTGCTGAACGTTTGTTGCCAGCTCTTCTGATTCCAGCCAACAGTGCTCCAGTCTGAAAGGGCGGTGGTTCTTTTTTAGCCCCACTGTATCTAATAAGAGAGGAATGTCATTAGAAACTGCTCTTGGTAAGGCTTCTTGACTAGAATTAGGGAAAACTTCTTCCCATTCAGAAGAAATCAGAAATCTGTCCAATCTGACTAGAGAAGGTTCTTCCTGGTTATTAGTCCAAGTATACTTTGCTCCAGAAAGCGGAAAATTTATCAGACCCCATCTCTGAATGAATTCCGCAAAAAGTTTCATACTCCTGCTACTTGTGTGACAACCCTTTGTCTGCTTGACAAACAGTGGCGTTGAAATCTCCCCCTAACACCAAAGTTCCTTCCCAAATCTCTCTGACACGGTCTAGTTCTTACCAAAATGTAGTACTGTAGGTAATGACCAAAACCAGGTATACATACATACATATATATCAGGATGCCATTTTTGAAGTAGTCACATTCTCACTTTGAAATGGTTGTGCTTGGGCTAGTTGCTTAAAAATCAATCATTTTTCATTTGGATATTCTAAATGCAGTATTGTAGGTAATGACCAAAACCAGGTATTTGTGCCAATATAATGGGAACCAGAATACGAATATACATCAGAACAGAATGATCATACCTCTCCATCAGATCCGCGTATGGTGAGACGATAAACCACAGTCACACTTCCATTTTCAGAGAATATAACATCACGTACTTCTCCACACCAACCTGCTAAAAGAGAAAACATAAGACAGGCAGCTAATACCATGATGAAATTTATCTATGTAATTTATCCATCAGTTAGGTGGAGAGCTCACCACCTACACAACTCGTAAATATGAATTTTGGTTATTGCAATCTTGGAAATCCAGGCCCTTCTGGTGTCGCAGGACTTTTAGAAACTGGGAAGAAACTCTGGGAAGGTAAGGAATTGGAGACTTACCAAGGGCCAGGCTCTGACTTATATCAAAATTTAAGGAGATTTGTGTGTTGTAATTGGATGGTTGAAGGAAAATTAGGAGGGTTCTAGGAGGTACAAGCATACATTTTGAGAATTGCTACATGGATACCACATTCTGCCAATAGACTAGCAGATAGTTTAGCAAAGAAGGGGCATTGAGAAATCATATGTTCTGGGGACAGATCCCCTAAAGTTTAAAAGGTAGTTAGCCAAGGCTATCCGCATTGTTGGGAATGTATATTTGCAGAGTGTACTATTTAATCCTTTTATTGATAAAATTTAGAGTTGTTATTCATTAAAAAAATAAACACTTTATCCCTACCCAAACACAACTTTTTTTATTGGCAACAGAAAACAGGAAATTCGTTGATTTAGAAAAGAATTATACAACAAGAGGTTGTGAGTTTACATTTTGATAGGCCCTCAACTACCCATTCGGGCGCACAACATGAGACCCAGGTCCAAGACACACAGCAATCAGGCCCGGCACGAGAGAAACACCTGATTCCCCATGTGCAACCTCCACTGAGGTTCGTTTACGTGAGGAGGCCACGTCCCTCCAGTTAGTTAGCAGTCACAGTCGAGTCCATGTGCAGGAGAGACTGAAGAGAGAGTATAAAATATCGTAACCCCCCATCTATTCGGACAGGAAAAGAAAACTTTACTATTCTCCTCCTTCCTTCCTCTTCTACTTCTTCCTTCTCTTCTTCCTCTCTTCTGCTCTGTTTCAGGAGGGTGAGCTCCCTCGAACCAGCTTAGATTCTCATAAATTCAAAGTGGTTATCAATTGGTATCAGAGACATCCAGATCCATGGATGCATGGATGACAAGGCTTGAAGACCGTCTCAGTCATCTTGAGGGAAATCAGAGGATTCAGAAACGGATTCTGGCCGAGCTGAAGATGATTTTAGACAAGCTTGGCACGATGGTCGGTTCTCTAGAAGAGCATAGTTGCCGAGCTCCTTCCATCAACACTCATTCCAAAGAAGATGGAGGATCGAAGCTGATAGAGAGCATTGGAAAACCAATAATGACAACAAGATCATCAACAGAAGTTGAGACTTCAACCCTAGCACCGAGCTCAGTGATGTTAGGTGACAGAATAGGGGAGGTGGTTCAGAAGGGCAGTATGAAGATTATACCCCCAACCAAGATCTACCAGCATCCCAACCCTAGTCAATTCGTCACCCCATCCATCGCTATCCATGTAGCTCGACCCCTGGTCCCTGTTCTCTCCCCTCTCACTCACTCCCTTAAATCGAGCCTGTCCATACCCAGCCAAGGTCCGTCTCAGTTGCTCAACCCCTGGTCATCATTTTCGTTGGTAGCAACCATAACCCGACCCATCTCACCATGCCACCGGAAACCTATCTCTGCTCACCCTCTAGTTTTACAGATCCCTGTTCTTTTCCCCTTCCATTTCAGTGGGTGGGACCCTCCTCTGTATAGCATCCCTTAGCACCCTTCGATCCCACTCACAGCCCGTATTATTATTTCCAATACAACTCAAGCAAACCTTATCAGATGCAAGGTAAGGAGATTGCTTAATGGCAGGCCAGTGATGATGAATGCACCTTTGCTCCCTAGTGACAACCATGAGTTCTGGTTCACTGTTGGAATTAAGCCCGGTGGTCAAGGAACCTTCGTCAACGAAGATCGCATTGGGCATGTGCTTGCTTCCACCAAGTTGTTACGATGTCAGCAGATTCTTTCAATCACTGACAGTGGTGTCAAAATAGCTAAGGCAAACTCAATGATTTGGGTTTTGGTTCCAACAGGACCTCTAGACACAGGTCAACAACGAAAGGGTGAAATGATAGGTAATGGTGAGAATCCAAGCATCATTAACGTAGTCGTTGTTCACCTTGTCCATTCTAGCATCTCCAGTGGTGCCATATCCTATATCTGGGTAGATGTTGTTGTTGTGAGTATGCTCAGGCAATTTGGAGTTGGATTAATTAGTGCTCATCTTGTTGCTACAAAGAGATTTGTCATTGTCGTCATTGTCCCTGCCTCAGCTATACCCTCACCAAAGAAGGTAATTTGAGTCCCTCTCTTTTATTTTTTGGGAGTTAGATGGATATTTTCCTATGGGTGTGGTTCCTTGCAACCAAGAAACCAACAACTTGCAAAGAGGCGGGCAAGTAGGACCAGCTATTGAGATAAGTAAAGGCCTGTTTGTCCACAACAACATCTTGAGGAACCCAAAAACTCATGGTCACATATGCCAATTCTTAGAGTTGGCCCTCACTCTTTTGAAGGAAGTGCCTTCTGATGACATCAGAGAAAACCCACCCATTTGCTCTTCAGTTTCAAATGTTTTCAATGATTTTGGGGGTTATGAAGAGGACCCTCTAATTCATGTTTATGGGGCCCACATTGGGTAGTGTGTGCTTACAAGTTTTTTGTCTTAACCTTTATCGGTGGTTGTTCGATGAATTGCACACTAGACGTTTTTCAATAGCTGAATTGCTTTTGTAAGTAGATGATGTTGACATGCTTCACACAACCAGCTACCACCCCCAGGCTGATGGGCAGTCCGAGGTGGTCAACCGGTGCCTAGAAACGTATTTGTGTTGCTTCATTGGGGAGAAGCCCAAACAGTGGGCCTACTAGCTTCCGTGGGCAAAATAATGGTATAACACCACATATCAAGCTTCAACAGGAACCACTCCGTTTAACATAGTATATGGGAGAGAATCTCCAGCAGTGCTGCCATATGAAAAGGGAACTTCTACAGTAGCTGAGGTAGACAACCAGTTGTTGAGCAGAGATGAGATATTGAGATCCCTTAAATTGCATTTGCAGAGAGCACAACAGCGCATGAAGTTGTCCTACGACCGCAATCACCGGGAGCTTGAAATTGCAGTTGGGGATTGGGTCTATTTGAAGCTCCAGCCTTACCGGCAAGCTTCAGTAGCCCGACAAGTTTGGCAGAAGCTAGCTCCTCAGTATTTTAGCCCATTCATGGTGAGTGAACGAGTGGGACAGGTGGCTTACAAATTGGAGCTTCCTGCTTCCTCGAAATTACACCCGGTTTCCCATGTCAGTATGCTGAAGCCTTGCCTAAGCCAACTAAGGTCAGATTCTCATAAATTGAAAGCAGTCTCATCACATTTCATATAGAAATTGTGAGCATAGCCCCTGCTATCTCACCCCAGTACATATTTTTACATTTGAGCCCAAAACAATTGTTGTCTAGTAGTAGCCTCTTGCTTTGCTAACTCATTGGCCAAACTGTTGGCTGATCTTTGTACCCATTATATTTCTAATTGCATGTCTCTTGAGAAGCACTTAAATCTTCTATTTCATTTATGTAGTTCCAGTTAGCTTTACTACCCTTCATCAAACAGCTGATAATCACTTTGGAAGAAGGGGGCTGAACAACATCAAAGGCGGAAGCAATACCTGTCTTAGAAAATAAAGAAGAAGCAAATGAGGATTCTTTCAACAAAGTCATAGCCTGATTAAAAAGGTCTACCTCTTTAGCCATAAGGCCAGGAAAGCTAGATTTGGGAGTAGTGGTCTGTCCTGAATGAGAAGAAGCACCTGCAACCGCATTCTTTTTACTTCCATCAGCTACATTTGAATGGCAACATGACTCATACCACCTGAACCTTTGTTTGGATTCTTATATTTCCTTAGGGCAGCTGGATTGAGACGAGGATAAAGAATCCAACAGGTGTCTACTGTATATTTTTCTTCCCCGTCGTGAGTACACTTCAAATTTTTCTTGTCTCCACCCTTACTTCCTTTAACCAAAGCAAATACAAGGACTGATTGTTCAGTTGGCCAAAACTGAACCTTACTTCCCATCTCTTTTCTCATTTCAATTGGAGACCAGGTAGCTCGTCCCTCCCTAAGATTTGGAGCAAATGCATCATAAGAGGGATTTAGCCTTGCAAGAAACTTGATTATTCTAACTTTTTCAATCTGCTTATCATGTTTTCCTTATCCTAGGTGCTTTCCTAGTCCAAAATTAATCAATGATCCAGTCCAGCTCTTCTCAAAGACCTTCAAGCATTTTTTATTGGAAACGGTAACTTCATTACTATAACTTAAAATAACTTTCCAGATTTAAGTACAGCTGTCAACCCCTAAGTAGGTGTTGAGCCCCCAGTAATCTTTCTTACAAAACTGCCCAGAAAAAGACCTCCAAGCATTTTGAAACCAATGTTTTAAAATGTGGCGGTGTGATGCAAGGTGTTTCATGGCTGGGAGGTGTAAGGCATAGTTCACAATGTAGGAGGCATAAAGGGGAATGGGGACAATGATGAGAGAGGGGGAAGAAGAAGAGCAAGGATCTCACTATTGTTTTGTTTCTTTTTTTATGAAAGTTGTCTTGTTAAAGTGGAGGCAAGTGAGTTGGAGCGAAGCAAGACCTGCACAATTTGGGAAGAAAGGAACTCAAGGATTTTTAATGATAAGGAAAGGAATAGGGATGCCATCATTGAAGCAGTAATTGTTAGAGTGGTCCATTGGGTGGCAAATTCAGTCCCTCTCAAAACCAAGATCAGTCCAATTTGGTCTCCACCAGCTTCAGGATATATTAAATTGAAGTATTGAACTTTAATGGAAGCAGTGAAGGTAACCTAGGGTCTTCTGGTATTGAAGGAGCTTTCAGAGACGAGAATGGGACAGTTATGGCTTTATTTTCTGGTCCTATTGGTGTAGGTGGTTCACTTAGAGCTGAGGTTTTGACGGTAATGGAAGGATTAGAGAAGACTTAAGAAACTGATTCAACTGAATATTCGTAAGCTTATTATTGAAG